AAGAGGAAATATAAGATGCTAAGCCCTCCACTGACAATTCTCATTTGGAATTAACAGCATTTTTGTTCTCATTATATTTTTAATTTTTTTCTAATTATACTTTTTTACATTATTTTCTATTTAATGTAGGCAGAGCTCTGTCTGTTTATGGCTTTGACATATTTTTTAATGAACTTATTTAAGTAAAAAAGCAAGTTTATTTAAAAGGAAATACTAAGAAAATAGCAGTTTAGGATATTGTCAAAATCACAACAATGGTATCAGTATTAGAACAAAATGATTCAATTAATCCATATTTAATGAGCATCCCACACCCAACAGTGGCATTTGACAATGCAGCAAAAAGCTATAATGGGAAGAGCAGTAGACTTTTAGTGCAATTTTTAAGTTGCAGTTTTTCCATTCATTAACAGTATTACTTTGGCAAGTCAGTGCTTTCTGTGCCAGAAGGTGTATAAAAGAATTTTTTTTAAGTTTTAAATGCTCTGGAAAATGTAATTTTTTTATTATGTCCATTTATAGGCTCCTACATCACAAACTGGTAGGTGTAGCTTAGAAGACCTGTGCGGGGATTTACCCACATCTTGCATGTTTGGACTAAACGAACGAGATAGCCATCTGGTTTTTGTTCTTCACGAATATGTCAGAGAAGCAAATGAATATTTTATCCAGGCTTGAAATGAATCTGTTTTGAAATTAACAGAGTTTGGTGAAACAAATAACATACTTAGATAAAATGATCACAGAAGTTTTTGTTGTTTGTTTGTTTGTTTTTCTGTGGAGTTGACATATAAGCTGAAATCTGAATAGTGAAAAAGAGACGACTATTAAAAGCGGCGGAGGTGCGGGGGAGGCAGAATAGTTCTATGAAGGGAACAGCATTTGCAAAAAGTAGAAAGAGGTTGCTATTTCCCAGGAGCAAAAATGGCTGGAGCTTGGTGGACTAAAAAAAGAGGAGAGCAAGATGAGAATGGAGAGGTCCTCAAGGACCAGGTCATCCAGGACTTTGCGAGTCACTGTGAGCAGCTCGTGCTTTATTCTTAATGCTTTGGAATGTCATTGAGGAGTTTTTGAAAGATGGTTCAGTCTTCCAAATTTCAGTTTGAATGGCCAAGCCAGTTTGGGGGAAATCATAGAATTCTAGGTGAAGGCTAATGATATATTACCTGGAATGTGGCTGCTTCAAAAAGCCTGCCTGATTTTCCCCAACTCTACCTTGGTCCTTGAAGCTCCCACCCTCCCCAATACCGCAGATGACTCTTATGTCATTTATCCTATTATGTTTTAATACTGTTTCACACCATTCTTATTCTCCTACCGCCCAAAGTCTTGATTCAGAACCATCTTATTTAATCTTAGAATTGCCTACACTTTTTGTGAGAGGGACTTTGGTGCTAACTGTGGATGTCTTGTAGTGCTCTGGTGGCTGCTGTGCAACTCCTAAATGAGGGGATGGGTGACGGGCCCCGGCATCCTGGCCGTCTTTGCACAGCTGACCACGGGCAGGCCCCAGATTCGCCTAGGCGAGTCTACAGTGCCAGAAGGGGCTTTAAGACATCCGCCGGTGTGTTATCCTTGAGTAAAACATGAGCTCTAAAAGCCCAGCCAGGGGCATGCACCTTCGCAGAGATTCACCATTAACCCGGTGACTGAAGGCCTAATGTTACTCCTCTTGGAGAAGTGCTGTTAAGATGGCTAGGATACCTAGGTAATGGTTTCTGCCACTTAAGGTTATGACAAGAAAAGCCATGGTCTTTTTGTCTGGCTACTATAGATTTTGCTGTCAAAGAATGCCCTCTTATCTGGTGTTGGGCAGATCCTAGGGACTTAATATCCTTCCTGCATTTCCTGCATTTCTGCTCACCTATGTGAGCAGCTGTCAACTTATTAGAGCAAAAAACTGCCTAGATATCAGTTAGCTTTCACTTCTACACTTTGTCCTAAAATAAGTATTTGGTAGTATCAAAAGAATTCCAATAAAATACTTCGAAGCAAAAAAAAAAAAGAATTGCCCACAATTCTTACTTCTGTGTCTTCCACCTAATAAATGTTATTCATATATTTGTTAAATGAGTAAATAACACAAATTCAGTAGTCTCAGCAGTCAATATGCCTCAGAAGCAACTGAGGAGAATAAAAATATGGATTCCAGGGCCACGCGCCCAGAGATTCTGATTCATAGTTTGGCGTATTTGTTGTAAATCTTCCAGGTGATTCTAAGGTGTGGTCAGAGTGGAGAACCAAGGGATCAGGCTGATTCTGGGTGGCCTGGAGTATCCTGCCAGTCCCACCCCTTTAAATGCCTATATATTTGCCTTTTCCTCGTGAATGTTGAAAATATGACAGAAATGCCCTGGTTATCTGGCCTTTAAAGTTATTCAAAATAATGAATATGAAATCTATTATAGGAGGTCATTGGACAGACAGCACTGTAATATCACTGGTCCAGGTCTTTTAGGTTGCATTTTTCAAATATACTATCAATTAGCTTTCCTTTGGATGAAGAAGATAAATTACTGTTTTTCACTAGACATGTGGAATTCGACTCACTTATTTTTTATCAGCTATGAACCTAAAAAATCTCAAAACGAGGAAGGAGTTAAAACATGACTTCTTCAGAAAGTCTGGCAGTGGTGTGTTTGTGTAAGTGTTTTGACTTCAGGAGGAGAAAATCTTTATTTAACTCTATATAATGTGTATATAATAATATAATTTTTGAGCACCTGCTTCAAAATAGAAACTGGGATGGTGGAGATAATAACAATAAACAAAAATTAAACCAAACCGGGCTCAGTGCCCAGGAAGACTACCCAGATTCCAAGAACTGGGCAAGGAATAAACCAATAGAGGGAAAAGGCAAGGATGGAGGGAGTTGTAACTGCCATCATTAAAAATGACCGCTTCGAAATGCTATCGCTGTTGAGCAATTCCATGGGACATTTGTCATGTGGGTGGGGTTCCTGCTTTTCTCATTTCAATGACGAGATTCCAGTGGAACTTGCCTTCCTAAAATGTCAATGCTAAACATGCCAATAATTACAGCAATCATTCATTACATTCGAGATTTTATAATGCTGTAAACTGCTTGGAAATAAATGGTCCAGGAGTGAAAATAGGAGTTCATATCAACTTTAATTAAAGTTACAAGGAAAACGTTCATGTTTCCTAGGTTGCCTAAATGTCGTGTGATTTACAAAAACAAAAGAGGAAATCCTTTTTGTGTGTTTAGGGATGGGTGTCTAATACAGGAACCCGTGTTTTCCTGTTATTGAAAAGCATCCTTTAATCTTTTAAGCACATTTTAGGACCTGCATATATTCCAGGTGTGTTATTTCCTTTAACATTAAAACATAAGAGCAGGGCATGACTATCAGAGAAAAATATTAGAGCTCCCTTTTGTATCATAGTAGACACAAAAAACAAATGAATTAAGTTAAATGGATGGGCAGAGCCCTGGGCAGACTGGTGATACTGCCTGAATTTAGTTAGGGGAATGGTTATTGCTAATGGGACTTAACAGGCTTATACTTGGAGTTGTAGGCCAGAGAGGCCATTTGTGAATAGAAGACTATAAAATTTCCTCTGATCGTGGATGTTAAGGAAATGATGACTTTTTAACCATGAAAGTAAATGTAATTGGTGTGAAATGTTCTGGAGCTTTGAGCCAAATAATGGGTAATAAACCTAAGCATGATTTGAAATTTAAAAAGATCTGTATTTGCTAAATTCTGGTTAAAAGCAGAGAGATAAGATTATACTGAAGTTGTAAAAATAGTCCTAGAACCACAGAGATTTTCACCAGACCTAAAAGCAAGATGCCCACATCTCATTCTCCTTTTTGTTCCTACTTTCATGACCCAGACACATTAATGCAATAAACTCTGCAATGCGTGAAGGCGAGTCTTCCTACCACCAGCCACGACTGGGGTAGGTGCTTTCTGTCTGTGTATCCCTCAAGGATTCCTTTGCTATCTGTTGAGCATCTGCATAGTTATTTGAAAATGTGGACTCTGTGGGATTATTTGAAACAAAGAAAGAATGTGCCATTGATGCACAGTCTTATTAGGATTGCATTCATTATGACAAGTAGTGCTTTTCACTTTTCCTGGTTCCTTTAATAACATCATTGGCATTAAACCTTACAATTCTTCCAAATAATTACCTCTCTACACTTGAGGCTCTGAGTTAGGAAGTAAGCAGTCATAGAAATCTTCCAAGTTGACTCTCTCCTAGTGGCTGCTGCCTGACCTCTGTCTGACATGTGACACTGTCTCTCCTCAGCATGACTGAAGCTGGGGTGGGGAGAACCGTCCTGGTTCCACAGGTTCATGTGGGGGGGCACCCAGCTTGCCAGATGCAGTCATAACCAGATAGAAACACAATACAAACTAGACTATATTTTAAAGCCCAATAATTCTGTTTGTTTGTTTGTTTGTTTTTTGGAATGAGGTATTTATTACTCCTTGTTTATTTTTTGGAATGAGGTATTTATTACTCCTTATTAGTGAAAACTGGAATATTTACACTGAACTATAAAATTAGAAATATGCATTACAGTTCCCTAAGGGAGCCAGTAACTTCCTCTTGCTTTAAAATTCGGCCTTTCCCAATAACCCCTACCTGGTTCCTATCAACCCTGCAGTTGGCCATTGTATACTTGTAGCCTCTATTAGAGGTGGCTGGTGTTATTCGATTGCATTCAGTTTGAACAAATGAAAACAAATGAAGCAGCCCTTACAATTAGAATTGTATTGTAACTGCTTGAACGTGGAGATTATAACTTCCCTTTCTTTTGAGTTCGCCCCTCACCGAAGGCACACATATTCACTCTTTCAATAGATAGATGTCTATATTTCTATGTATATAAATATAAATATATTTTTTCTCCTCGCTCTCGCTCTCATTGATATATGCATGTAGGTGTGAGATGGAAATACCACTGACTGAGGAAACAAACCAACCTGCACACCCACTTATCTGAGTGGTCTTTTTCTTGGCAGTGACAAACAAGAAACCCACACAGGTGTCCATTACAAAGGTCAAACAGTTTGAAGGCTCCACATCGTTCGTGCGGAGATCACAGTGGATGCTTGAGCAGCTTCGCCAAGTTAATGGCATCGATCCTAATCGGGTGAGTGACTTGTCCAGTGTTGAGCACAGGCGTTCCCTTCACACATGACTCTTTCATTGCCCTTGGTGGTGGTGGTGGTTGTCTGAGTCATTTTAACAAAGCTATTTCTCTACTTCAGTTATGTAACTCAGACTTTCTGATGTTTGATGCAGGAAACTTAAGGGGATACATATAGAAGAAATGCTACCTCCAATAATATTTTTGTTAGCAAATTGCAAAGAGCAGAGTTCAAGTATTATGTCCATGGTTGTCAATATGAAAAACCATGTTCATCCAAGCTTCATTTACTTCCTAATACCATCAGTAATAAAGTTTAATTACCAAAAAAATGAATGAATGGCTCCTTAAAAGTTATATATTAGGATTCTATTGGATTTAATATGAGAAACATTTTATGGCAGAGTTATTTATTCAAAGTATATTCCCTTTTACTCACATTCACCGTACGAAACATCAACAATGAGGAAAAATAAAATGTAAATTGTAACTATATGCTAAAATAATGAGGGGGAATCTTTTCTTACCAAAGGTTGGGGCACGATTAATACAGTTCACTGCTGAGAACCTGAAGGAATTATGTTCCAAGTAACTGGGAAAGCAGTATGCAGTCTGGATTCTGACACAAGTCAAAGTGTGATAGGCTATAGAGACTTCTGTGAGACTAGCTTCCTTGAGACATCTTCAACTACTGTTTTAGGCTTTGCTTGATAAACAGAGAAAGGTGGACTCTCCATGTACCTGAGTGCTAATAAAGATGAGCCTTATGATTAGGACCAAAGTTTTGAAAGGTGTTTTAGCCTTTATGAGTCTTTTGTTGGGCATAGGTAGAAGCAGCAGTTTTTATACATTGAAATCAGTAGTTATTTCACTGTCTTTTCCAGGATTCTGCAGAGTTTGATTTGTCGTTTGAAAATGCTTCTGACCAGTGGGTAGCCAGCACAGCCTCAGAAAAATGCACCTTCTTCCAGATCCTCCACCACACCTGTCAGAGGTACCTCACGGACAGGAAGCCGGAGTTTATTAACTGCCAATCCAAAATCATGGGAGGTGAGTGGGCATTTGTATAACTTCATCCTGTTTCCTTAGACCCACTTTTACATAAAAAGTTAGGTGTTCTGCAAAAGAACGACCAAAAAAAAAAAATTCTAAATATTCAGAGCTAGACAGCATAAGAACCATTCAAGGGAGTTCACTGTATGCTAAATCTAGACACAGTGGTGTGTTTTCACTCTCATCCAAAAACTGATCTTTTTAGAAGACTAGTCACTTAGCTAAGATTATTTGTACTATGAGAACAAACCAGTTCCTTTATTAGAAAACCTTTCAGTTTGGTTTCTTTACTACCATTTTTTATAATTTCGTTGCAGAATGCTGTTTTTTGGGTTGCTCTTTCCTGTTATTTCTCAAGATAGTCTACAAATGTTAATATAAAAATTCTTAGAGATGTAACCCCCTTCTTTCAAATAGCAATTAGTCTCACAATTATTCCTTCAATGGCATACAGAGCTGAGTTAGGATGAGTGCTAAAAGCCAGCCTAGGCTGGAGTGAGTACCAGCATTGGCAAGATAATGACAAACATTTAAGAAGGTGCTTAACACATTTTTTTTTTTAGGTAGGCGACATTTCTTTTTAGGGAATTGAAAAATGTGCTGAAAATATAAAAGCCTCGCCAATCATTCTGTGAGTTGAAGAAGAGTGTTTATATCATTGGTCTTTTCACTGATCTGATCTGGTTTTGAAAGAAATTTTTTAAAATATATCAACTTTCTCTTAATCAAATGTCAAATGAGGGTCACGTTAGAAATATTACATATTCTCTTCGAGCTGTATATATCTTTCATTTGGACTTGGGGCTGAATGCCCTTATTCTGTTCTAGCAACTGATGTACTCATTGTCATTTTGTCACTAGTCTTTTAGATGTTGTTTGGAGAAGACACTGTCCAACACTTATTATACACTGCCATGTTAGTGTTCCTCTTAAACAGGAAGTTGCTTATATCATAAGAACCTCGAAAGGTCTTTCTCAGGCATTGATGTAGAGTCATCTTATAGATTCTCTATTTAGTCCTAGAAAAATAAGGTGATGAATATAAGAGGTGATGAATGGTGCATTTTTTCTTCCAGGTGACCTCATCCTATGGTATAAAAGTCAGAAACATTAGACAGAGATGTGAAAAGGAAAGAAACTATCAAACACTACCCCCTTACTATTTAGAAAATATAATGAGATATAGCTTTTGATCATGTCTCTGCCATCAATGCTCTTCAAATAAATCCTGCTTTCAAAGTCCACTTTAAGTTTGACAGACTTGACAAAAGGTCGAAGCACACCAGGCTCAGGACCACAGAAGGCTGCATGAAAATGGAAAGTGAAACATTTTTCCCATCGGTGTCAGTATGGTCTGTAGCTTGCTTGGCTAGCGCTTAAGCGCAGAGTCTCCACTAAAAATAACATGACGTTATGGATTTGAACTTTCCATTGCCCTTGGAGCCAGACTCCTCTCAAGTGCTTCACTTCCCCCATGTTCCATCTCAAGTGCAGAGGGGCCAGAAACAGAAACAGTGCCATAGGAACTATCACATTTCCTCAGAATGGGAACATGAGCTGGAAGCAAGGGGACCACAGACTCTCTCCATTGCCCTTGCAAAGGAAACAAGCCATTCCCTCCTGCCAAGGTTCAGGAGAGCTTTGGTGACTCTTCTTTTCCTCCTCCCCTAAGGGACAGCACTAGGCAGTTGCTCTTCTGTTTTGCCCCGTAGCTTTCATTTCTTCTCTCAGAACAGGTCCTTTCATTCTTTTACTCACTCTTGTTTTATCATGTAATCATACAACGAATGAATACTAAGTACCAAGTATGCGCTAGTCACTGTGGTACATCTGGATATGGAGAATAGTTCCAGATGTGGCTTCTCAACAGCCACATCTATTCGCCACAACACAAATCCCAGATCCCAGACTGGCAGATCCATAACAGCCTTTCTGTATGCTCTTCATTTACCTTCTTGAATATCCTCAGACCTCCCTAC